ACAAGCGTATGATAACAATTTTATGACAAATACTTGATGCATTACTCAAAGCAAACGTTTATCTGTGAGACTTTATATCTTATCAAAGAATTTTTTTTGTACTAGTAAAAAGGTTTCTTTAATATATATTTAAGTTTAAAAAAAATCAATGTAATGAAGACAATAGAAATATGAATTCTGTTGAAGAAAGAAACGATCAATGATCAATGGAACAGATAATCGATGAGAAAATAGATTTCATTTATCAGATTAAAAAAACATCGAAATTGATCAATAAATATTTTAAGTCATTGTTGACGTTATGTAATTTAATAAAACTATTTAATGAGATTGATACGATATATATTCATTCTAGACATTTCATACTAATCTTTTCTCTTGCCATTTTTTTTGTAATAAAATGACGTCTACTTATTCGTTTTGTTGTAAATCGGATATTTATCATAACTCGCCGATTACTTAGCGCTTTTACTAGCTAAAGTATGCACAAAAAAAATTTTATTGAAGGTTGTTCTTTGATTATAACAAAAAGTTGTAGTAAACTTAATATATTGCCTGATTTTCCGGAAACAAAGAAGATTTTATATAGTGTTATTTTGCCGATAGTTTTTATTACCTCGTTCGTCTTTTTTTATTACCTATAAATATTGTATGCAGTCTCGTTTTTTTTCAATGTCCTAATCAGTAGTCTAGTTGGTGTGTTTTCAAGAACAAGAACATATTAATTATGAATACAGTGTCGATAATGAGTAATGAAAGAAATACATGAAGAATTTCTATTGATTATAATTTAGATAATTAATTAATGAACGAATTGAATAGTTTTTTTGTTTTTCTTGGTTTATAGAAATGAGGAAAATTTTTATTTCAAATCATTTGAATTTCATTTATCGAATATTTATATTATTTATGTATATATATTTTTCTATATGTTAGTTCTTTTTTTCGTTTGGAAATATATGGCATAACTCTGTTTTATATAAATTAACATATCTGCTGAATGGAAAATCGGTTAGCATAATGTTATATACGAATAGCAGTATACCTCATTTACATCTGTATAACGTCGACAGATGTATTGGCTTCATGATAATAATGATGATAATGGCAATGAATGCATCCTTGGACTTGAATTGAGAAAGTGTTATCGAGCTAGCACTCAAAGAGGGATAAAGCTCCTGTTACTTCCTAGTTTCTTCCATCTGGCATGACGTAACTATTTATATTGACCTCTTTATTTTTCTCCATGGCGTGATAGCTGCATGTATTATTCGTTGATTATTGTTTCTATATGCATTGATGAGAAGAGAAAAAAGGAGAGAAATGCTTAGCGTTAATTCGGATTGACATTCCACTTTAGAATTGTGTTTTTTGTCCTAAGATAGAAAAAAAAAGACCTCATAGGACATATTAATCGCCTGAGCTATTATACTAAACATGAAAATCATGAAAACAATCATACAATCATGAGAAAGATATTCAAATATAAAGTAAAACACACCGAATTGCTATTTTTAGGAAGACTAGTTAGCGGTAATCGAGTGAATTCTGATTTTTTCCGATATAAGCATGTTTAACGCCGAATAATTCTCCTTTTTTTCTCTATTCTCTCTGGCAAAATGTTTGTACCGATATAAAAAATGATAGTTGAGCAACCGTGACAACCAATAGCATTATATAGAAGTTTCTTATTGTTTTGATTACAATTTGATATATTACTTTTTTTGCTTGAACCCAAAGGCGAAAATTATACTTAACTATTTCGTTACATAAAACAGGTGTGTATCCGTTTAAATTTTTTCAATCTTTTTCCTATAGTTTCTTCTTGTCTATGTTATGTCAACAAACATAGATTGTATCATGTCATATTAGTACAAACAGCTATATTATACAAACAATGATGAAAGATAAGTCTACTAACTGATAAAAGCGTAATAAAGCATAAGTTTCTAGACATAAATACGTATATGTAGTGACAACAAAAACAGTCATTATTGTCTTTTCTAAGTAGAAAAGATGATACAACAACAAAAAAACATAGCAATAAGATAAGTTTGTTTTTTCCACTTGACTAAGATGGGAATAATGAACAATAAACAGAAAAAAAAATGTTGTGTCCACTAGGGAATCATCTGACATGTCACATCGATGTATATAAGTGTCAATAGTTATTTTATGCTTATTTTGTTACTAACAACTAGTAGATTCTATTTATTAAATAGTAAAAAAGCAAAAGAGTTTTTTTTCTTTTTTTCTATATGTATCAAAAACTAGATAAAACATTTTTTTCTTACTACAATTAATGATAAGAACAAGTGTCTTGCCATTTCTTAATTTTTGTCCTACATGTCGTTTCAACCTACTAATTCAGTTTGTTAAATGTCTAGCATTCTGTGTGTTCTTTAGATACTAATATTTGATGAATAACCTAATATTTTCGAGTGACGAAAGGTTACTTGTATTTTTTAACTGTTACTATGGTTTAGTAAGACTTTGGAGCCGTTAATCATAATTATATTATATGATGTTCCTAAGCATTTGTTTTCCTCTTATTTGAAAGAGATAATATAATCAGTTGATATCTATCGTTTTTGATGAGGCATAGATAAGCGTGGGTGTGCAATTATATAGACAGAAAGAAGAATTTTGCGTTTTTCTTTCTCTTCAATTCTAGAAATGGGCTATTATGTTAGTTAGATAATTATCATTAAATAATGAATTGTTCGGAAACAGAAGATATTGCGCGTCAAATTGAATTATATACTTATCCAATTTTACTTACTATTGGTACAGTGGGAAACTTTTTATCGTTTATTGTTTTAATTCAAATGCGACAACATAGCGTATATCGGTATCTAACATTTATGTCTCTTGCGGATACCATTGTTTTATATATTGGATTATTACGTGAGTTACTCTTATCATCAAGTTTTCATATCCATATTCATGGAACAATATTATGTAAATTACATGTTTTCTTTTTCTAGTAAGTTAATGACTTTTATTTAACAAAGTAAAATTTCAATAATTCTTTGTTTTTTTGAAGTAATACTCTACATTTATCATCATGGTTTCGATGTTGTTTAAATTTAGATCGTTATATTGCTGTTAAATTTCCTATATATACATCAAAATGGTGTCGTACACGACAAGCAACAATTAATGGAAGTATTGTATTAATAATTTTATGTTTATCTAATATTCATTTATTAATATTTGTTCATGGTGATAATAATAATGGTATAAATTCTAATCGATCAACTGTTAATCCATTCCAATATCAACAATGTTATTTACATGAAAATTATGTATATTTTTTTGAACATATCTATACATGGATTGATATGTTTCTTGTAACAATAATCCCATTTCTATTTATAACTTTATGTAATTTAACTGTTATTAATCGTGTATTTCTTGTATCAGGTCCAAGTAAAAAAAATGATTTAGTTAGTCGTTCAAAAGCAACAAATCGTTTACGTTCACTTTGTCTTATGATGATATGTTCATCATTTGTATTTGTTGCAACAACTTTACCAGTTACAGCATTTATTATTGATTTATTGTCAAATAAATCCTCTATTGAAGCTATTCGTTGTCGACGAATACAATGGACTATTTATAACATATTAATGTATTTTAATTATGCAAGCATACTTAGTTATTGTTTATCTGGAACAGAATTTCGTCATGTTCTAATGACAACAATACGTATGAAAACAAAATCAAGTTTAGTTTCAATGTTTCACACAGATATGATGAATGCTGTTAATTTACGTCGAACATCAACACCTCAACAATCAAATCGATTAGTTGTTGATTATGAAGATAAACAACGATTTCGTTCATTATCTGTTGTTGTTCTACCATCAATGAAATTAAATAAAAACCAACATGTTTCAAAAATAAATTATAGTAATAAAAAATATTTAGATATTCAACCAATAAATTATAGTACTAAAGATAAACATTCATGGACAAGTCAAACAAATTGTGCCGGTTTAACATTATCATCAACCATGCAAAGTTCGCGTGAAACAGGAAGAAGATCAAGTTGTTTATTAAATAATCCTTTAGATGATGATAATCAACATGTAAAAAACAATTAGTTTCTGTTGAAAAATAAATATTAGTGAAATGCATTATTTTTGGATATTAACGTTCCATTTAGCTTCGAATGTATTATAAAATTTTCAAAAAAAAAATAATAATAATAATAACAAAAAAAAAGACATTAAATGGACAAAGTCATTATAAACTAAACAAAAATTTTTCTTTTTGTTGATTTGATCAATTTCTATAATAGATAAATATATTCTAATATGAACATTCAGAAATGTTACTGAACAATTTTTGTTTAGAAAGAATTCACTTTTTTATTTTTAGAGAATTAACTATTTCCGTCAGCTAGAATGACTCTATGTTGCAAACATATTTTATCTTTCTTGACGAGTATTTTTTCTTTGTTTTTTTTATAAGCTTTTCTATATTATTTGGATTGATTTTCAGTGGATTGATGGTTATTAATATAGATTATAAATCAAAGTATTTGATGCGAGAGATGTTAATAAAAATGAAACATGACTTCCTTTCAGAAGCAATTAACTGTTTGTCTTCCATCTATAAATGATTAATCCTTTTTTTAATTCTATCGGATTATTGTTGATTTTAAATCTCAGTCGGATGATCTCAACCATTACGAGTCCAAAAAAACAATAAGCAAAATGAAGCATGTAATCTAAACAATCAAAAGACAAAAAAAGACGCTTAAGCTCTTGTTGACTTATGTCTACGTTAATGGGACCTTTTCTTTTATGCGAGAATAAAAATAACTCAGCGTAGGATGGACACATGGGAATATACTCTTTCATATTCGTATTACAGAAATTGCGTTATAGATATTGTTAAGTTCATCCAATTATATTGTCTGTATATGTTTGAATTATTTCAAATGCAGAAAGAAAATATTCTGACAAGAAGACTAATTGGAATACATCAATTTAATTGTAATGAATTGGAGTCATGTTATTTGTCCAACTTTTCCATGCTATTTCGATTATTGCCATAGTTTTGAGTGCATCTTCAATATCAGTTGAAGGTTGATCGTGTTTATTTTCATATCGACGCATAGCTGCTGCTATTGGTCCAATAAATGCATGAGGAAAACGACTTCGTCCTTGTAAATCAATATCAATCCATTCACCTTTCGTCATCTCATCTGAACAAATCTACCAAAAACAAACAAATACTTAAATAAATAAAATCGATCGATTGAATGATAGTCGACTTTTGTTTTACTTGTAAATAATCTGTTTGTTGTCCTTCTGTATTTATTCCATATGCAAGATTATCACCAATTTGTGCTTTAGCTGCACCTCCAGTTCCTTCAACAAGTATATAGGATTGTGCATGTTTCATATCCCATCGATGATGATGATTTGTATAAATATTTACATATAACATTGGATCGTGTTTATATTCAAATGAATAAGAAGATCGTACCGATATCAAATGAGGCATCATTACATATTGACTTGTGCGACAATGCAGAGCACTTGGTTCATATGGGTTTAAAAGATCACGTATCAAATCAACATAATGTATTGAATGATAGGTTAGTTCAAGGTTTTGTACAGTTGCTAAAAATGGCCATAATGGCCATGGCATATGTACATTAACATGTATTTCAATAGTTGTTAATTGTCCACCTAACCAACCAAGACGAATAGCATCTTTAAGAGCAAGTATATAAGAGGCATAACGAAGTTGAAAATTTATTGAACCATGAATATGACGTTGTTTACATATATTAACAATTGATTGAGCATCGATAAAATTTTCCCCCAATGGTTTTTGTATAAGTGCATGAGAATTTATTGGAAGTTGTTTAAGAATAGATTGTATTTGATTTGATGCAACAGCCAAATCAGAAATAATATTTTCATCTGTTGATGTTGTACATGCTTCGTTGATTGTATTATATACTTTTGGAATATGTCATTTGTTGGCTACATCGAAAGCTTTTTGTTGATCAATATCATAGATACCTTTGACAGAAAATCCAGCTATTTTATATGCTGGTAAATGTCCTGAAGTGATGATTGTACCAGCACCAATCAATATTATTGGATAATTACGCGGGTTTTTAGGTAAAGCAGGTATTAGATTTAATTGAGGGAGAGATTTAAAATAATGCTTCATTTCATGATCATTTGTCTTTTGTAAAATTTGATAAATGATAGAGTATCAATAATGACGAATAATTTAAATTATCTTATCATTCTCGAAGTCACACACAGTAGCAAGACAATAAGGAAAAGGTAAAGAAAAAAACGAAAAGACGTACAACATTGATAACATAATATTTAATGCTTAAAGTACTATTAAGATATTTAGTATATCATGTAAAAAAGAAACACAATTGTTTTACATAAAGAATATTTTTGAACTTTTTCCATTGACGACTAAAATAAAAGCACATGTGAAGTGAAAAAAACACATAAATGTAGCAATATAAATGATTTCGAAAGAACTTAACTGATGAATATTGTAAGAAATAGAATGAGCAAAATGTATGTTAGTTAATTTGCGTATCTACATGTTATCAGTTGAATCTCACACTTTCATAAGTTACATTTATAAATACAAAACAAATAAAGTCACAAAGAAAAGTTTAAAAAAAAGAGATGTTGATGATGCACGTTAGCTAATCATTCGAAATACAATAAAAATGAGATAAAACCAGAGTTATCGACACTTTTTAGAAGTGTCAGAAGCGTAAAGATCCGGCAGAAAATGCTTTCATCCTCGAAGTGTTAGAAGTGGTGATCAGAGAGGAAAAACGAACTCGTATATGACTCAATTCCTCCTACAGTAGATGGTCTGCTACAATGTCATGTCTTCTCTCGCAGTCTGTTTCAATTTTATTCATACTACAATGATATCATCTGCTTATTTTTATTTCACTTTTTGCCAGAGACAGGTAAATAAGGTTTCAAAACCCGGTTTCTGTTCAAAGTTACCACGAAGCTATGAAAAATTAGCAGAATTTATTATGAATTTGAGCAAAGAGTCAGATATTTTGGTAGAACAAGGAAAGCCACCTGATCGAGAACCCTAGTTATAGAATAGAGAAAGTTAAGGAATAGCGAAGAGAGACAAATCTTCTATCAGACATTGTCATTTTTACAATGAAATAATGACTGAAATCGTGATAGAATGAAAAGATACAATAGTTATCATTCACACAATAAATAAATTCTGAATTAAATGAATTGACTGAATCTCGGAATGAGTTTATACGCTATAATACTTTGTTTTTATTATAGAACCAATTGTATTTTGTTATTAAACAGAATGAACTAATAAATCTATAGCGAACGTGATCACTACTTTCTCTTTTTTACTTTATTCGTAATACTAATTTTCATGCAAGAACTAGAGCGAGAAGTGGTTGTAATTTGAAAACTCGACAACAAAAGAAAGGTAAAAAATCAGCCGTTTTCAGCAACCATGAGAGGAGAACTCCGGACATCTTTTTGTTCGATCCTATGTAGAACAAAATTATTATAAAATCTATCGTCTTCACAAAATATTCGAAAAAAAATGCATGAAAATGATGTTGTATTTCGATCTGATTTTGATTTTGACATGTGGTGCAGAGAAAGGAACTTCAGATCTAGAGTTGAAGATATAATTAAGGTAATTATCTTCTCAGATTTTAACGTTGAGGAAGCCAAATTGCGCACATAAGCCGTAAAATACTATAGAATTCTGTTGATTTTTAGAAAATTTTTCTTGAAACTGAAAACCAGTTTCATGAATGTTTCTAAATTTTTCATGAAGATGATGAATCTTAACAACAATCTTGTTTTATATAATATCATATGAAATGAGATTCAGAGTTCTCCTCTTTCGACTGCTGAAAATGATAAGTCGATAGCTGTCTCCTTTGTTCAGTTATTGAAATTATATCCATCTCTCTTCAATTTGATTTTCATTAAAATAGGAAATCAAGCTTTTGGTTGGAACATAAAAGTGATAATGAAACATTTAGATCAAACAGCTATCAAGAATAAAAAAAATGTAGCAAGGCAACGTTTTCATATTAGTTTTTCTAAAAAAAACTTTATATTTTCTTAGCTATGATTCTATTTTTCCTTCGATTAATTCATAATGTGCATTTTTTATAGAATGTCTATAATATTGTATTGCATAAATCTACTTACTAAGTTGAGCAGATTAGTTTCTATTAAACAATTTTATCAACATGTATAATTAGTCTTGTTGAGCTAATGGATAACGCACATGATCTTTTGGAAAAAAATTGAGATACTGCATTAATCATTAGTCATTACTAACATATGTTTATCATCATGCAAAAAAAAAAAGTTTAACTACTTTTATGTATCTTTCAAAATCCATAGTAACTAATTCATTTCAAGAGATACTGACATTTAACATCGTACTAAATATGTATCAGAGATGCCATCAGGACACTTTTTTCTGGCTTGGCATGTTGACCAAACCAGGTTGATTACTGTTTCTGATTTTACGAATACATGTAACTCTAGAAATCTGCATTACTGCATAATTCTAGCTTCAGCTGCTATCTTAATTGATCTCCATATAGATAAAATAATAAATTCTTGTATGTAACAGTAAATTAAAACAAAGAGACAATATAAAAATGAGTCATACAAACCAGGATTGTATCAAAACAATCCAATGAAGAGGTAAACGAAAATGCACAACGAAAATTTAAAGAATAAGTGATACTTATAACAGAAGACAAGAACATTTATATTTGACAATCAATTTTCGCATCAACACAAGTGCAAAACTTACCATTCAATTGTTTTGGATTAAAACATGTTCTTCTACCAGTCAACCCAAGTCCTATGACAGTATATTGACGTTCAGTTCAAGCCATTAATGCTAAACTCGAGAGAATTTTTTACAGTACTATCAAATAGTAAGTTCAAGCATCAACATTTAGTTTCTATAATGTAAAAATCAGATCGACAGTTCTGTTATGTTTATCTAATATTCAATCTACTAATGTTTTTAAATGGAATATTCCACCGTTTCATACATTATTGGTTGAATGAAATTGCTTTGACAACTTAATAAACGAACTTCGTTTTTATAGAAAAATAATCTGTTATAAAGATTTGTCCTATTCAATAAGATGATATTAAAAAAAGCTTCAGTGCAACGAGTTTTGATAGTCAATAGTTCGCTAATATAGGATCTTCGGCTACGATCAATTTTCAAATCTGTTCAACGATACATTATCTAATGAATATGATTTAAGTTAAAACATGTGTTGTTTGTTTTTTTTTGCTTGACAACAAACTAATGCTTTTCATATCAGTGATGTCTCTAGACGTTATTTTAATTTTCTTGAGATTGTTCGGAACTATAGGACGTATTTTATTCGAGAAAATAATATCTCGCTAGCTACATATAATAAAAGCATTGAAATGTCACAATTTATTTTTAATGTCATTGATAAGTAAATTAATTTGGTCATTGCTTAATCCAAAAGTAGAAAGTCGTTTGCGACCTTTTTCTACCACTCCATACCAAAGATTCTTTTGATCTGCATGTTTTAATTCAAGTATAGCAATGGCTAATGCTGTTGTTAAAGCATCTTTAGCTTTAGTTACGTTTGATATAAATGCGCTTAACGATTTGCCATTGGTCAATTTTCTAATATCGTTCTCATTTAATAGCCATGCTCCGTTGAATGACTGTTGATCAATTAACCAGCGGACAGGATCAGCAGACAACAATGGAGTAGTGGTAGCAATGTCTGAAGACTCGTCCGAATCGTGTTGCGCATATGGCTTGATCCATGAATTTCCGGCTTTCTGTGGGCCAGGTCTAAGTTGATTACAAAATAAAAACAGAATATTAAGTTATAAGAATAGAAGAAATTTGAAATGTATCAATTTATCATGATCAAAATTTAGAAACTATGTAATTACTGACAGGATACATAACTTTCAATTAAGTACTATAACATAGGTTGTGAAAACTGAAAATGACAAATTCACTCAAATATCTTCATCGTTTGTCTAACAAACTTCGTTACAATTTCGATTTCTATTTCCATAGACCGAGACTCAAAATTTTCTGAGTTTGTTGACTATCTATGTAACAGAGAATGAAAAATAAAGATGGATAGAGCAAATAGACATTTTTCTAAACCTAACAATAACTTAATTTGCCCTAAAAGGACTTGAAAAATACTTACGGTCCTCGGTGAAAGGAATAGTGTGACTTGTCCATCAACATTGGTCCATGCATCGTCATTGCCGGTACCGGACGTCCAGAACCGTAGCCCATCGAATATGGCATTGCCACAGGTTGTGCATGATGTCCAGAAAAGAAGCCCATCGGCCCCCTTGCACCGCGATTAGGAAAAGAATATACGCTTTGGTGAGAAAATAAATGTTCACCACCTTTCGATATTTGAATAGGTATATGACGAACTTTAGAACCAGTATTATTGTTTTTTGGGCCAGTAGTTTCTATAGCGACAAAGGCTGTGTAGGGCGATAAAATTTGATGACTCATTGATAGTGTCGTAATTTGTTGTTCAAGTGTTGAATTGTTTCTATCGTTAAAACAAAAGATAAATTAGTAAAAAAGCCAATCAAGCAATTTAAATGATTTGACTTGTATACTCTTTTTTTTTAAAGAAATCTTGTTTATCTTTAAATACGTACTCTGTATCCGATACATTATATGTTTCATGTTGCAATTCTTGTATCAAAGCTTTAGCTGCTAATCGACGTATTGTATCTCTTTTGTGCGCAATATTACCAGATAACTTAATCGAATTCATTTTATAGTCTCCAACAAAGAGAGCTACACTGATATTCTGGTTTTTCAATTCATCACCTTCTAATAATTCATAAACTAATACACAATCATTTATATAAAGAGGTGGAATCTTTTTTGGAGCTTGTAATCCATCTTTAGACAAACCATACCATTCAAGGTGAGCATTTACTAATGATGGTTGAAGAGCTCGACCAAGTTGACTACCAACGTATGTATCAACTTTTGAATTTGGAGGTACAAAAACAAAATGACCATTTGTTGCACGAGCAAGACCTTTCACTAGAGAATGAGACGGTGAATGACCAAGACCAAAAGAAAATATTCGTGTAGTTGAAGCCATTGAACGACATAATTCGATCACCTGAAAAATAAAGAGGAATTCGAGTTTCTTATTCCCGTATCATGTTATAAATGCTTTCTTTCTTTTAGCCTATCAATATAACTGTCAGATTGTAATATTTCAGAACGTAAAATATACTGTAATGCATACGAGAGCAACCGCAAAAGAGCCAAGGAACCAGAAATTGGACAAAATTTAAATTTTATATGTATTCAAAAGACTGTCATCTAAAACCACGAAACTTAAATGTTTAGTTCACTTCAATGTTTTATAGTAAAGTTAGACTTCATTGACTTTCAGCATTACCTAGCTGCTGTCAAAAGTATAGTGATTCATTGTGTCAATAGTCTACTAGGGTTTTACTTCTAAATATTAGAGAATTTTCTCATATAATATATCAAAAGATAGATTATCAACATTTAATCAATATGAGCTATTTAGGATATTCTATACTAATTATTTATTGAGCCAACATAAGTGGAAAAGTATATCATTTAGCAATCTATAATATCTGTTTATTGATGGTATATCTACTGGCATTTTTCAAAATCAAACGATAGCAAGCTGGGTTTTTGACATATGATGCAACTTTTGATTCTTTATAAAACAGTAAAACGATATCGAAAAAATATTTAGTTTCGAGATCATACGAATCTTGCATCCTCGATAGACAAGCAAACAACTTCAAGAAAAACGATGCTGAACACTTTTCATAATGCTTGTTTCATAATTTTCATTTAATAGATTGTATCCTGGCTAAAATTATATAGAGTTCTTTCGACAAATTAACAAAAATTTCGACTCCCTACATCCCTAACGGAGACTTCAGGAGTTTTGAAAATAAAAAATTAGGAAATCAGATGATGATCACTGATGTTGATACACAATGGATCTTTGACTACAACCATATAAACGATGCTCATTATCAATCGTTAACTAGTAGTATATAGAACATCCTTTTAATGGAGAATTCAAAGATCTATAGCATGTGTATGACATTGAAAGATCAACCCTAAACCACTAAATTACCATTAAAAATAAAATTCTATCGTATCCTTATGGTCAGTGTTCAGTGCTTTATCAGCATGGATGATTATATATCGATTTTGCAAATTTTTTGTTCATATTTTGATATCGTTTTACTGTTTTAAAAGAATCAAAAGTTGCATCATATGTCAAAAACCTAGCTTGCTATCGTTTGATTTTGAAAAATGCCAGTAGATATACCATCAATAAACAGATATTATAGATTGCTAAATGATATACTTTTCCACTTATGGTGGCTCAATAAATAATTAGTATAGAATATTCTAAATAGCTCATATTGATTAAATGTTGATAATCTATCTTTTGATATATTACATGAGAAAATTCTCTAATATTTAGAAGTAAAACCCTAGTACACTCTATTGACACAATGAATCACTATATTTTTGATGGTAACTAGGTAATGCTAAAGAGTCAATCAAGACTAATTTTACTACAAAAACATTGAAGTGAACTAAACATTTAATTTTGGCGGTTTTAGATAACAGTCTTTCGAATGTAAATAAAATTTAAATTTTGATCGATACCTCGTGTACGGAGATGATGTGCGGTATTCTCATAGAGCCTCTTTTAAATATCTCATATTCATTAGTTACCTCATTTGTATTTGATATTTCTCCATCGGTCAATAGGAAAATTTGTCTTGATCGATCTTTAATTGGTGGATGATCGTTTAAATGTTTCAAAGGTTCCAACAATTCTGTTCCACCAAAATCGGCTTGCATTGAACGTGTAAGTTTTTCAGCTTCTTTAGCAGTTTGTTCATCATAAACAGCCGTTAAAGTCTCATTTTTGAAGAGAATATCAAAATTTGATCCAAAACGAATAATATTAAAATGAGCACCCACTGGTAAACTACGTATAAATAGAAGCATAGCTTCTCTAGCAAGACCAATACGATTATCTTCCGTCATTGAACCCGAACAATCAACTAAGAGGCAAAAGAAAAGAATAATAAATTATTATTTTACTTATAAGAATTCTATTAAAATATACCAATGAAAATAAATTCAGTATTAAGTGTATCTTTTCCATTAGTAATTTTAATAAAATCAGAAAGACGTGGAGTAAATGCTAGAAGAACAGCATATTTTGAAGTATCACTATATTGTTCGATAGCAAAACGTGTCAATGGTCGATTGTCGGGAAGATCAATATCCAAAATAATATCGCGATCAAGAGCAATAGCCATTGAAGAAACATCAATTGATTGGCCTGATATACTAACATTTACTGGATGTGAAAGATTAGCGACTTGCTTAATTTTATCTGAAATTTTATGAATTAATATTTAAAAACAAAAGTTTTAAATCAATAAAATATCTACTTACATTCTTCACCTCGAAGAATATGTGCTTGAAACCACATTGAATATGAAGTATTTTGAACATATTCAGCTGCTGTACGATCAGGTGATTGTAGACGACCGAATGATGGATTATATCGTGGAGCGATAGTCGTAGGAACGACAAATCGAATAGCATTTCCATCAATTAAATCTAATTCAGTTACATATTGAATCATGATTCGACATTCTTTTCCAGGTGGTAAAGCACCAACATTAACCTTAATGTAGATATGAAGTTTTTGTTTTTATTTGAAATAATAAAAATTCAATTTAAATATAGTTATAAATTACTCACTGTGAAGGTATCTAATGTTTCTCTGCTTTGTCGCATTAAAAATGCTGTTTGACCTTGTTCAACAGCTGATTTATATTCTTCTTCTGCTGTTTTCTTTTCTTTTAATACAGCTGTGATTGTCCGATTGTCAAATTCAGCCGTAAAAGAATAAACGGCAGCATTTTCCTATAAAGAAAAGTTTCTATTTGAACTAAATTAAAATTTTTGGTGGTAAAGGACAATAGTCGACAACGATTTTTATTCATCTTAGTTCGACATCGAGATTTTCCGCATCTGTATCCTTCTACGATGTATCTGAATTTTTTGTTCCCTTCGCTTTAAGTTAAACATATGCAAAATATAAAGTTTACGATGCTGATTAAGAACATTTTTTTAGTTTTTGTCATAAATATTTTGATGAATCAGAAAAGTGAATTTCAAAAGGATTAAACCTTAAGTGGATAAGCACTTTGTTTCTTGTGTTTAATCATCTACCAGCTTTATATAATGATCTAAACATTTGAAAATAAATTTTAAATGAGTATTGAAGTATTGTGTATCTAATGATGCAGAAATAAAATATCTAAATATGTGAAACAATTCAAAAAATCGGATCACGACCGAAAGTCCTAATTTATTTACGTGTGCATCTTCTTTTGAAGTTATGCCTCTTTGTCGTTTCATGCAGTTACCTTCTGAAAGTGATATAGTCAGATACAGTTTTTCATGATCTATTCACATATATTCTTGAACAATAAAAAAAAGCCTGTTTTTGTGGAGAAAGACTACTATTTAATAGAGACGCGCCATACTTTTCAGATCGTATTTGCATAATTCACGCATATTGTGCATCCTGCTATATATTTAACTAACACTATTAGTGTTTGATTAGATAGATGACACTCAATTACCTATATTGAATATTTCTAAAGTATTACACATCCTATGCAGGTTGATAGGAAATGATCAAAATCTTTTTTGACTATACCAGTTAATAGTGTTGAAAAACAGCAAATGTTGATTAGGTCATTTTCATCATTACGGCTCCGTTTTTTAGAAACCAACCGGATTTGGATAATAAGTCAATTATGAACTGCAACTTGAACATACGTGTTCCTGATTATTTGTCATCGAGATTTTTCACAGTTGTACTTTCTCCTTCCAGCACTCAGAGAACTTAGAACACTGTTTTCCTGGATTTCGTACCACACACAAGTCGCAATGGGCCGTCCTAGTTCAATGTGGTGCTCTAAAACTTTGAGAAAAAATTTCAATCAAGTCTTCTCTATTTAGTGAAAAACTAATTATGTCAATTAAACATATAGAACAATGCACAATATGCGAGAACTGTTGAAATACGATGTGAAAAATATGACTTTGCACTACTAAATGATAATTTTACTGAAAAAGAACATACTATTTTTCTTCGTCAAGGACATCTTTAAATAGAACATGAAAAACTAGGTATGTCTATATCACTTGCAGTGAGTGACCAGGTAAAATAGTGAAGTGATATAATTTCGACAGGAGTCACATACATTAATTAACTAAGTTTTCACTTGTAATCCGGTTCTTTGAACTGTTTCACATATTGTGATATTTTAATATTTCCATCATTAGATAAGGAATGCATTAATACTCATTTGAAATTTGCTGTAAAATGTTTAAAACTTTATTAAAACCCGTATCTAGTGAAAAACAAAAAAACGTGTGTTTATTGAATCAGGATCTATTTTCTTGAAAATTTCCTCTCATCATTTATCGTTATAGTTTATACAACAACTCAGATAATATTTGTAATCAACATTGTCCATTCTGCTTTTTGCATGTGTTTAACTCGAAATGGAAAGAAATCAACTTTCAGGTACGTTCTATGGAGGTAAATGTGCGAAAAACGGCAATGTCGAATAAAGATGAGTAAATATGCCCATACTATAGTTCAAGGTTAACTTATTATCATCATGTACTTTTTTTCCGAAAGCAATTTGAAAAAAATGTCCTTATCAACTCTCGTCCTTTCTATACAGTTGATTTGTCTATATAGTTAATTTCTATATATGCGAGTTTTAACTATGAATCTTTTGTTTTTAGTAAATACTAACAAAAATTAGTTACTAAATGATATACCTCAATAGGAAATACATAAATTGCTTCAATAGGATTTTCTTCTTGATTGATAAACACTTGGGTCAAAGTGACGTCGGCAGCAAAAGAATCAATCCAAGCTTCAACTGATACATTACGAAGTGGTACATAGGCTTGTTTGGTTTCAGTCGGTGATGGTTTGAATCGAAGACCTATACATGGAGTATCTCTATTATCATCACGAGTAGATTGATGAATTGGTTTAGTTGTTAATCGAAGACCAGGAATTTTTGATGTACCACTAAAAATTCGATTAGTTTTATTCAGAATATATTCATTTGTGATATAAAATTCATTTAAAAATTTTTCAATTATTCTAGCTTCTATACCTTTTTTGACTTCCTTTTTTAATTACTTGTCCCTTGACACATCGTTCACGTTTGAGACGATCATATTGTACATTGTTTTTCCCACAAAAACATAAATGTTGACCATTTTTTGGTTTTTGACATGAACGAAAACCAGTATTTTGAGGCAATGTTGTTTGTTTAGTTGTTGTCTCAGTGTAACTGATAATTGTCACAATCGGAAGAAGTAAAACAATAATTTGAATAGAAATAATATTCATTCTAAAGATATAGCTTATGTATTGTAAGCAACGCAAATGTCTATATTTATAGTTAAGACAATCTTGGTATCTATCAACATATTTTTGGTGAAGTTTCCCATCAGCATATTATTCATTCTCTGATGTATGTTGACAAGTAAAAAAACAGTTGTGTTACCCCTTCTTCGTCATCTTTTGTTAGTAATTCTATGACCTACATGGAATAGGAATACGATTATAAATAATACCATTATTTTTGCGACCCTTTTTTTACCCGAGAAGAAAACAGCACAATTACATATGAGAGTTATTAACATTAGTAATATATCAGAATGTGATTATTAATCATCGAAATTGTATTAGTCTATTCTTATGACTTGTTTTCTATAGTTTCAGCTTCAATGTGAGAAAAAAATGTTTTCTGTTGGTAAATCATCGATGTTGTATTCTTGATTTTATTTTATTTTTTTTTTGAATAAATCGAAATTCATTGTATTCTGTTTTAAGTATTGTAGAAAATCGGAATTAAGTACAATCATGATGTTCGTTTCAAAAAAAAAAACTGAATAAATACGGTAAATGATTTTAGTATGTTGTCATTTACGACGCTCTCTGTTATATCCACTCACAGAGTGGTTGCACAATATAAAAAGAAAGAAATTCATGAAAATAGTTCTTTCCATGTATTTTCCGACAAAATTTTCATCATATTGTATTTAACAGATTTTCTTCAAGCAAAGTGTAGCTATCAGAATATGCTCAAATAACAAAATATTTAATATCAAGCACTATATGAAGATTTTCAATATTACTATTCATTTCAAAATATAATTTACTTCACTGTTTTCTGAATAATTTTTCATAGGAACATTATAGAGATCTGTGATTTTCAGCATTCGAGAGAAAACTCTCAAAGTCATTATAGTACGTCAAAATTTGATTTAACACCAACTGATCACTTAGGTGAGTTCTTCGTGGAGATTTTCAAAAATGATATCCTGAAGTTTTTTTTCTTTTAGTCTACACAAGGCAGACGTTTATGGCTTGTTTCATTCGAGAGTTATAAAACTTTTCCTGAGATTCTGATTTGAGTCATTGTTTTAGAATCACTTCTAAAAGCAATTGCATAGAAGTAATTCATGATGCTGAGTCAAATGATGATATTTGTTTTTTGAATGTGAACTGACTTAATTCTATTATCTTCATATTACTGAAATTTCACAATTAGTCTCCATACAACGAAGAAGGGGATGTTTTGGAAGTGTTGAAATAACAATGATAAATCATTTCGAACCTAAAAACAAATATCAGTGTATTACTCAGTATAAAGAATTATCACTGCCAAGCTGCTTTTCTGGGTAATAACAAGTCAATTGATTCTAGGCAAAGAGTTTAACAAGAAAAGTTTCATAACTCTCTCGAACAGAGCAAGCCAGAAATATTGATCTTGCGTACATCAAAAGAGAAGAACTTCTTCTATCAAGTCGCTCGTTCTATGAATAGTCTAAATAAACAAGAAAATCGTTTCAGAATATGGATTTCGAAAGTCTCGACAAAACACCACTTAAGATTGGTCGATTGGTAAACAATTGAGTGTGGATATATTTTGATCGCCCCGGTTGTTTTCTTTTGAATAGTGAAAATCCACAGGTTTCTATGATGTTCCTATGAAAAGTTATTCAAAAAGCAGTGGAGCTCATTATAGCTTGAAATGAATAGTAGGTGTTTTATGTGCATAGTTATTTATGTACTCTACTAGATTTGTTTCGATCCAAGAGCCGACAAATTTGAATCGATCTAGTTGAATGGCTACTTAATATTAAGCACTAGTTAAAAAATTTGTACACTTTTCAAAACAAATTCTATCGCTATTTCATGAATTGAGTAGCAAGTATATTTTTGCGAATAGTTTTGAGTACTTTCACATTGCTAATCGTATTATTATGAAATTATAAGTAGGTTAAGATATAGTTACTTGTTTATTTCACTCTGCGTTCGATATTATGAGAAGAGTGCCTCTTCGTCGCTCTTTATTTGGAACGTCAGTTGAATTGAACTGAACAAAGACAAAAAAAAAGATAACCGCGATGATACCATTGACCAATCGATCGAGAGAGTCACATCACAGAAAATGCGAATATGAAAAAAAAGGAGGAAGAAAGTGGAAGATGATAGTGAATGTCTGCAACTTCAAACAAAGCGTTTGTTCAAATCAATATCACCAATGAGAATTTGTTGCAAAAAATTCAAAGACGCTACTTATTGTAAAAGATTCTATTCAAAATGTTGATATTTTTTTTGTGACAATTTTTATTAAATACATCTGAATATCCACCAAAGAAAAAGTGTCATCATTTTTTGCCTATCTGAAAAAATTGAAGGGAATTGATAATAAATAACTATTTACAAGGTGCCCTAAAGATTCGACATGAGAAAAAATCGTCAGTAATCCTTTAACTTCTTCAAGCCATTTATTCTAACATTTTTAAATGATGGAGTCATTTATTGTTGTGAAAGAGAAAATATAAATCATATTTGGTCTAGACACGTCAGATGTAGACTAACATTGAAATAATTTTCAACGCTTTTGTGAAACTTATACAATAGCAAGGCGACAAACTTTAAAACATTACTGAAAAAAATATTGGCGAAATTCCTGATGTTTGTGAAACTGAGCTAGTATCAAGCGCCCGAGTTGTTGCGAAAGCCTGTTTCATTCGACGTACATCAGTACACCGAATTATGACTGCATATTTTTCAATAAAACCATACAAGATGGTCGAATTGAATTTGTAAAATTTATACAACAGTTAAGAATATTTATCTTTTTTTGTCGAACAAAGTTACTTTTCATTTAAATGATTATTCAATCAAAATATAAACTGAAGATAAAGCCACATAAAACATATATGAGAATCTTGTTGCATTCAAAATGAGAGTTGATAGCAGAAATAAATTACCTTGACATAAAATTTTTGTAGCATTTTTTCAAATGTTTAAAAAACTGTTGTACTCGAGGTCGATGCTTCTACGACATATGCTCTATTCATATTGAGGAGCTAATAATGACATTTATGACGAAGATTATTGTGAATGTGAGTATAATGATAAGATCTATATCTAATATCACTACTTTCAAATTGATTTTTGATTAGAATACTTGTCAAGTTTCTTCGACTATTGCGAAACGAATGGACTTGTGTATTGTAGACAATTGTAATCACTTTGAATATATATATATATATTGTAAAGCTAAGCTACATGAAATAAAATTTCAGAAAACATTCGATAATATGGAAAAAAACATATATATATCACTTGACCAACTTAAAAGCTATCAATATTTTTTTTGATAGTGCGTGTTTAAAACATTCTGTATTTAAACTGTAGACATTTAACGACAGCTATAAAATAGTGCTGATGGTATATTGGATGAAAATCATTATCAAAACTTAGGTAAGTAAGAGAAACTACTCCTTCAAGCAACATTTATTCAAAAACAATCACCTATATCAACTTTTTTATGACATCCGGACTATTATTCATCATATAGTGATTTTCTTAATGTCTAGTAATACTATCTATATTATCGATAAATGTTTAAATTTACAAATAGAAACTTTATCGAACAAAAATTATCAATACAGTTTTGTCGAGTCACTCTCGATCGTGCTTTGTTGAATTACATATAAAACAACTTCATTATTTACTTTAAAGTGACACGAATGAAGTTGAGACTCGTCAAGTGTATTCACTTCGGGCTAGGCTTTCAAAAGACTAGTTGTTAAATTATATTCAACATTAACTAGATAACCACAAGTGCCTACAGGTGGGCAGGAGTAATAACGAAAGAGGCCAATTCATTACATATTGTTTACTTCAAAAAAGATATATCAAGAGTGAGCTATAAGAATGAAACTTTCCATGGAATATCAAAACAACAACAACTACTACTGAATATATGGTGTAGAGATATATATGACATATCGTTTCTCTGCATTGATATAGCAAAGTGTACGAACTTTTTTGTGACTACCCTATGTGCTATTTTTTACCGATATAATATTTTTCCAAAATCAGAAAAATTGAAAAATATCTGAAAAATCTAGGTTTATTGGAAACCGATGATACAGTCCAGAAATGTTTGCTCTAAAAGGAATTAGAGACAGTAGATAGAAGAGTTTTCGAATACTTTGGAGATTCGATGTAGATGGATTGTCATCTTACGAAGGTAATCGTTCAGACGATACTATACAAAAATTATTATTTTTTTTAGAAGCTAAACATGCAAGTTAAAAAAAATTTTATCATTGTACAGAACGCGGCTGGGAGATTGAGAAAACATACTTGATTTGTCTATTGAACAGTTAGATTTTGTCAGATATCAATATCTACGGCGACATGACGATTTTTATGCTAAGTTTGGGCAACTAATTTTTCAGCTTCTTTGAAGGTTGTAACAAAGTTAATGAAACGATTAGATGGACTACATTTCAAACTATATTTCCATATATTAGAATTTTGAAAAGTGCGATCTTTATTCTTAGCCAAATGATTGCCTAGATGCATACTGTGGAGAAGAGAACCTTAAACTCTCACAAAAAGAAACATTCTGCACTTTGTACATTTTATTTAAACGCAATACTCATATCAGATTCAATATATGGATATGTCGCGTAAAAAGACTTCACTAATGAATGATGCGCACCAATATTCGAGTTTTTTTCTCTTTCCTACTTTTTAATTTTGTATTAATCAAATAGCAAATGATGTGTGTAATTGAGTATCAAAAAAAAAATTGTTTATCACACTCGTACTTCTGTTAGATAATTATTATTTTGAATAATAATTTAGTTACTCAATACCAAATACAATTTTAGCTCTTATTATATACAATTTCATAATTAGTTATTCAAATGAAATACATAACTATTTAAAGAACTTAATTATACATTGATTTCTATTCATTCCATCACTATATTGAAACGTATTACTTGTATACTTCCTTCGATATTTACAAT